CTGTTAATGGGCAAATATGGAAGTCTCACTACAGGCGTGATTCCTCTCTAGCTGTGTCTATATTGATGCGATTAGTATGGCCTGATTATCTTATCTATAAAAACACATCTGATATAACTTCTTTTTTAGAAAAAGAACAACTTTGGTTATAAAATAATTAACTTTGTCAACTTTTGCTAAATTGCTTCATATAAAAATGTTCTTTTGGTGGATTGGTCTTTTAGATGAACCCACGGAACAAAATCTTCTATACTCCATAAGTCAAGGTTTCTGTCTTTAACGAACTTGTTTTTGTACGAATTTTACGTAGAAGTTTTCAACACATGCTAAGGACTGCAAATTATATTTTGTAGTATATCGTAGACGTGACTTTCCAAAGTCGATTGCTATCAACTGCGGATGTATCGGTGAAGTTTCAACTTTTTATTCCAATTTTTTGGGTCAACGGTTGTCTACAGGCATTGTGATCGCGGTCTTAGAAAAAAACAATGTGGTTTCTTCTCATAATTCGTGTGACTTTGTATTACTGCCGGTATTCCGAAACAGTAGTCACACTAAAACGCTCCAGAATCAATTTGTATTTTACTTTATAAGACGAGGTTGTCAACCCACGCAAATCATAAACAAAAAACCATCTTGCAACTTGTGGTGTCCATGTGATATAGTCCCAGTCCCATCTCTGTTCATATATGTAAAATTTTCTTTGAAGTGTATTCTGAATTTCACGAATTGTCTTCAATTTCATTTATAGCTTTGAGAAGTGGGGAATGCGTGCTTCCCATAAAACATCAATTTCAATTCATTTGTAGAGTGTTTCTATTCAGCAAAATTTTGAAGGCCGCAAGATTTTTCGTTAATTATTTGCAAATCAATCGAAACTATTTTTGACTTTTGAAACTTGTACATGAGCCTCAGAAACTTTTGTAGTACGTTTGACATCGATTTTTGCGGCATATTGTAAGCTGACTTCTTTGTTACGATATGGGCCATTAGCAGTCATAATTGCGTTTCTAGACGGACCAAACCCTTAAAACTCTAGCACTAAGCAAATAACATATGTGTCAGTTTAAATATTCCTATGCCGTACTTGCTAGCCTGAATGCTATATATATATTTATATAAAAGTGGAATCTAGCTTAAAAATGCGCTTTAAGTATGGTTTCATTATCGAATATTCACTTATCAAGGTCATCCATTAATTTCTCTGCACATTATCCATTAAACTGAATCTTGAATCAATAAAAATAACATAAACAAATATTGTTTACTATTGAAAGCTGCATAACAAACCATAAAAAATTTAAATAAAATTCTAACGCAGTCGTAGCGAAACATGGCGAAGGAGGACGTTGTAATTACATTTTTAGCGCAACAGCGTAATTGCAAAACGGCAAAAGAATTATAAAAGATATAAACTTATATGAAATTAAAGGAAAACAAGTAACAATATTATAGTCGCGGAGGGGCGATCATTACCAAATACCCTACGCGACCCTTCTTTTGATGTAATTATTCATGTAAACATTTTCAAAATTTGGCATTGCATAAATATGTCGAATGTATGTATGGTCCGATCTGAACCTTTTCAATAGCATTCGCCCTTGGTCAAAAACATGTCGGAGGTGCACCAAATTTCATCAAAATAGCGCAAAAATTACGCTCTATAAGTTGAACATAAAAACATAAGACGGACAGACGGATTGTGAATCGATCGGTATAATAAAAGGTACGTCTATCTCAAATTGTTCTGGCTATTGAACACGTCCGCACTAACGTAATAATACTCTAATATCGCAGATTGTGTAGGGTATAAGAAATAACAACTTTATAGTCGGGCAGCACCGATCGGTTCGCTTAATACAATTTTCATTTCTTCTTGTAATAAAACGCTACAAACTTTATCTTGTTTCCATAAAAAGGCATACGTTCATGCTGGACATCAAAGAAAAAGAGTTATAGGATGGCGCCTCAAAGCTTGAGCTAAGGTAGTCCAAATTTAGCAAAATTAATTTTCTTGTTACCCGCCTATTATTATTTTTCATCTATTTTCGTCATTACGCATTAAAGATTACACTCCATTGCTATGTAAATGCTTTCGTTTAGTAAGCACTCTTATAAGGTAAAATAGAACGTGAAAAACACTATATATATGGTTCAATTTTTGTATAATGCATTTTACGCCTATAACGATTTTCACCAAGAAATGTTAAAAGTATAAATTTTTTGCCTTATAAAAGCATAAGTTTTGTAGAAAAGATTATATGAGAAGGTTATATGAAGAAGTTCAACTATAGGTCCATTCAATACAAATTTCTCAAGTCAATTTAGTAAGCCATGACGCTATTGATGAGCGATTTCTGTTGGGGAATTTTGTAAGATGAAAATTTCTTTCATCCAAGGGCTTTTCCAAAGTAACGCGTTCTACGAATAATCGCTGTAGAAATGGTCCTTTCCAATCCGTTTTCAACAGCGTTTCAAGAACGTTCGTCATTCGATCAAAACACATCAGAGTACCAAATTTTATTAATATATCTCAATAGATGCGGTCTGCAAATTGCAAAAACCCAAATGTGCATCGGCAGACAACAGACAGGCGGGCGATAGAGCTTAACTTATTTCAGAAAATGATTCTTAATCGATCGATAAAATAAAATGCAGGCCTATCTGTTACATAAATATGCACAAATTTACTTTGCTCACCATGTCAAGGGGTGCCTAGCGGTGCAACTAGTCAGAAATTATTTTGCGACACCGAAAAGTAAAATATCGCAAATCATTATCTGCTTTGATTATTTCTTCGACATATCGGAAAACCTGTCTGGACAGACAGCTCTTTAATATATTTCGGAGAGACTCACCGACCAATTCAGAAAATATATGTCAATTTTCAGGCTTCTACACAAGTTAAAATGTGTGAACGCAGAGCGACATTAAGATGTGACTAAAATTTCTTCCGCTATCTCTTTAGCGAGGAAATTCCATGTTTTTTAAATGGTTTTCTAACACAAATTTCTGAATTTTCGTTATGGGATAATAATATAGCTGCAGTGCACACTTCTTATCTTCAATGAGCAGAAAAACAAAGAAAATGCATTTGTTTGACTGACAACAAATATTGAACTAGAATACTACTTTAACTATTAACCTTTGCATTGAAGGAAAGTTTTCGCATTAGTAAAGCAGGCGACAATTATTAGGAGGTAAAAAGGTATTAAAAGAATTTTACGCGAAACAACAAACGAAGAAATAAATGTAATAAAAGAACTTCACCTATAGCGAACGACCTCAGGCAGCTGTCAACCTAAAGCTGTAATCCGAATATTTACTAGTGTTGTTTAAAAGTTCCAGCTTAGTACGGTCGATAATAAAATGGAAAAGTAAAATTGCTTAAATTAAGCAAATCCATGCTTTTAAAAACTCTTAAGAGTCAATTGTCGCTCGCAGGCAGACGTTGAGATGTTTTTCCTTTTTGCTGATTTTTCAGAGTCATATATTATTACAACACTATCTTCTTATGCAAATAACGCCAAGTGCTACGTATTTACAAGGTGAATGTACAGGCGGCTTCGCCTTAACATGGTCAGTTCGTGGTACACCAAACCTTTTGCTATTTTTCTATTTAAACTAAAATATCATATAAAATACTATAATTGAAACTTAGATATAACATAAATCAATCAAGCAGGCAAACTATATAGCGGGTAACGGCTCACAATTCAATACCACACAGCATCCTGTAATGATTCATACGAAGGGCTTTTTAAAATAATATCTTAGATGGGAAGTGGTTGAAAAACTGAACCGATCCGCATCATATTCATAATAAAAGCTAACTCTATCTCAAATCCTTATGGTTGTTGCAGATGTCCGCAGAAACTTAATATAGCTTTGTACCACAACTGTTGCAGGGCAAACAAAATGTAAATCGTGCTTTACAAGTACCGCGTTAAGCGGGGAAACACATCTTCACGTGCGAAGGAGCTTACAATCCCTCCTGAATTTTTATGAGTGAGAGAAGCCTACAAGAGGATAGGGACAGATAGACTAGGCACTTAACAAAATCGATTTAATTGTTTATGCTTATTAAAAATATAAGTACTTTGTAAAGTCTTCAATAAATGCCATAATATATAGCGAATAACAAAATTATCGGTGTTACGAGCAACGAAAAGGAAGAAAAATGAAAAATGCTTTGGTTTCCTTTTTTTCTAGAATAACAACAAATATTAAGGAGAAAACTATAGGATAAATATTGAAAATATTGAATTATGCTGTATTACAGTTAAACAAAAAAAAGATGTGTATTTAATTGCTAATAAATGGGTATTTATTTATACATGTTTTTGGTTCAAATATATGTTTTTTTTTTCATTCAGTGCGCAATATAATCGAATGGCTAATGAATAATATTTATCAGAGAAATTGTAAGTAAACAAAAAACCTTATGAATAAACACATATACAGAATATACAGAACTATATACATACATATATATAAATATATATATACACATATATATATATTAATTATATTGAAATACATATATATATATATATATATATTTGTGTTTATGTATATATGCATTTATATATATCTATGTATATATATAAAACACGCCACGATATTGAAGCCCCTCAAAAGACGTAAGAAACAAAAAGAGAGAGAGAGAGAGAGAGAGAGAGAGATCAATGTTTTTGAACAGAATTTTCTATTTCTGAGATACTGACTGAAATAAAACGAATGATACAACAACAAAAACCATAACAAACAGTTTGCCGGTTTAAGTGAGAACAATGCCAACAAGCACGTTCGCCATTCGTATAAATACAAGCTACACGGGCACTTAGAACATCATTAACGCTGAGAATATCTTAACGGGCGCAGTAACGTGAGAAGAATTCAAAAAAAAAAGAAGAAAAAAAAAATCAAAAGAAAAGTTTGAAATTTAGAAATTATTATTAAAAAAAGTGATTTTTGTTTTTTTTTAAAAGTTACAAAAATAATTTGTCTATTTCAAAAGAAAATAATAGTGAAAATATATTAAGTAAAAAAAAATTAAATAATATTTTGCATAATGTCTGCATCACCGACCGCTCGCCAAGTACTAAGCATGCCTGTAAAAACTAAGAGAATTACTATCTCTGATCCGATCCAAATGCCGGAGGTATATTCCTCTACGCCTGGCGGTACCATGTACTCTACAACACCTGGTGGTGAGTTAACCAAAAAAAAAAAAAAAAAAAAAAACTGATGAAATCGATTGCAGTAAAAAAGTGACTCATAATAAACCAAAAAAAAAAAAGCCAAAAAAAAGGAGAAACAGTGAATAAAAAACTTGAAATTTCTTCTTTTTTTGTGATCATTAGTATTATTAAGCAGAAACGCGCTTGGTAGACTTATCAACATTAATTTCATTGCATTACAGTCGTTGCAAGACTAATGTTTAGTCTTTTTTTTTTTTGTTTTTTTCTTTTGTTTTGTTTTCATTTGTTTACGACTTTAAAATATACTTACTACGCAGTTGTATATAAATGAACTCTTTTTTTTATTTTTTTTTATTTTTCTGATTTCTCTCTTTATCTCTGCGTCTTTTGCAGGCACTAAAATCATATACGAACGTGCTTTCCTAAAAGAATTGCGTGGTTCACCGTTAAGCTTATCGCCACCGGTTAATATACCGGTATGCTTGTTACGCGGTACCCCTCGTACACCTTTCCGCAAATGTGTGCCACCACCAGCAGATTTAGTTAAGAAGACAGAGTCGCTGAAAATCGAGGACCAAGAACAATTTCAGTTGGAACTGTAAGCTGCAACAGCAAACAAGCAACCAAACCAACTACATATTCTCCTGCCTCTTGCGCCTCAATCAACTTATAATGGCTGATTGGATTCGCATATATACTTTAAAAAAAAAAAAAAACAACAACAACAACAACACCAAAAGTTTCGAAATTGTTTAGTTGTACTTGTTACAAGTACTGTTCGCAAGCAATTCCAAAACTGCCCCTGTATTTCTCCATATAGCAGCGACAAACAACAAAGCACATCTACGAAGATGGAAACCTACCTTTAGTGTTTAAGTTTTGCATTTAGTTTTTTTAGTTAATTTTTTTATATCATACTTTTCTTTCTTTCTTTTTTTTTTTTTGTTTTTTTTTTCAACTGTTCCGATTTTTCTTCGTTTTTTTATTGTGGAAAGTTTCAAAAAAGAATATGTTTTCTCTTATAATATTTTGACTTCTCAGTCATATTGACTGGACTTGTATTGTAAAGCAAAAAAAAAAAGAAAACTAAGAGTTTACATTAATTTATATAATTTGTTTTTCAATCTCATCTAAACGTTCAAAAAAATAATATCATTGTGTATCATAAAATATATAAGATTTTGTTATATTTATAAAAGCATAAATTCATATTAAATTAATTAAGTACAGAAAATAATATAAAAAATAAAAATATTTTTATAAAATGACGTAAGCATTATTTAATTTTATTAAATAAAAATACAGTTCGTTCCAATTATTATTATATGTCGTCTCCGAGGAGTTTGTGCAATGTATGAACAGCTTCTGCTGTTTGGCTTTCTTCCGCACTGATGCACCAAATCTCAATCTTTTACTTTTGGAAATTCCAGTAAAAACTGCATCCACGCTAAGGACTAAGAAGTTTACTTATCGACCAATTAGCCGAACCAATAGGATACATACGTCTAGAGCCTTCATTTTCGAAAATTTCTACATTTAAGATACTGTTCGTGACTATTCTCTACACAGACAACACAAGTTAAGCCACATTGGCTTCATAAACTACTTCTGCTACGATACATTCGTTCGTGGTTTCATACCTTTGCTTGACAATGAAAGCAATTTCTTTCATCAATTGAAAAGAACATTCAAAATAGAAGAGATGCCATACGCTATGCTGCCCGCGATAGACAACACGCACTTTGATAGCGGTGTCTTCATAGCACACTTCGCTTTATCGGAATATCACTTGGATTGATTTTTGGAGATATCCCTCGAAGGAGGCTCAAGGTGTTTTCGCGTTCTTTTGACCAAATCTTTTTTTAATGACAGGAAGAAGCAGCGTACAGATAGATATTTCTGTCGAACTACAAAGAGTATATTCTTGTTTCAGGACACTAAAGCTTAATACTTTGTAGACAACTCATTATAACAGTTTTTGAAAATCTTTGGGCTTACCTTTCGATTATCCAAGAGGCGACCATACCAAGTTTCACAACCGTGCTTAGGAAATGTTGCCACGCGTACACTGTTTCATTTTGAAAACGCTTTGAAATGATTGAAAATGCTTTCCGTTACTCTTTATGGGTTTGTTAACAAAGGCAATGAAAACAATTTAAAAAAATAAAAACCAAACAAGTAAAAAAGTTATATTCGGCTGTCACCGAATCTCGCTTACCCACCCACATTAAAATCTTTGAAGCCCCATGCTTTTATTAATTGTCATAAAAAAGTGAGAAAGACAAAGACTTCACTAAAAGGTGTTGCTCGGAAAACTTCCTCTACCTATCGCTATCGTGATGTCCACCAAATCTTTTTTAGAATTAACACACTTGGCTTTTCGCATTCTGCTCTCCAAGCTCTTCTAATTGACACTCATATCGATGGTAATATTAAGAAAAAATTAATCGAACCCCACGTGGAATGCTTTATGAGATAACATTCATTCATTCATTTGAGGAATGCACAAATTAGTTTTAGTCTTGTTTATCCTATAAGTAATAAATATAAAATCTGAGAAATCAGTGAAAATAATGAAAATTTATTCACTTGCAACGTTGTGTGTGCAACGGCGATTTTCTCATTTTTGCATAGAAATAGTACAGTGTTTCGTAAGTAATTGTGGAAAGTTTCAGACTTTTTTCTTTCACAATTTCCGAGTAATCAGCAGGAACACCCAAATTTTTAGTTTACAAAAACGGAATTGCGTTCAGCTTACGCTTCACTGCAGGTTTGCGCTTTGACCAATTTGGCTCATTTGGCTCGCAATCTTTCCGCGAAATTTGAAATTGATATTTTCATTTTTGCGATCGGGAAAGTGCCAACAGCAAACACCACACAAACACATAGACGGACAGACATGGCAAAATAAATTCACAATTTCACGCTAGTCAAGAATATATGCACTTTATAACGTCTCTAAAGCTTCCTTTGGGTGTTGCCAACCTTATGACATTATGAGCGTACCCCTACATTTCAGTGGTGAGTGTAAAGATAATAAAAGTTAAAAATGTTTACAACCAGATAATAAATCGTGCATTTTAATTCACAGTCGAATGAATCGATTGGCTGAAGGTAGCTCACACGTTTAGCGGCGATACGCTGGACTTGCTTGGTTATATTTTCAGCAGAAACCTCACAGAGCGCTAGGCATGTGAGAACGCATTGTATTTACAGCAAAAGATTAATGAATTCGGAAATAACACTGTTCGTGTTTAAATTTGTGGAGCTGGTAGGCAGCCGTTAAAAACGAACGAATTGCGAACGGTTCAACTCTTGAGAAGATTACTGTTTTGTTCGAGACGATTCTTTCTGTCCGTTATTTACTGGTTATTTGAATTAGTTTGTAACTATTTGTACTTAAAATGTCAAAGAGTTGAGATGCACTAAATTCCTTGTTGCTTGACTCGGTTTAGTTATGTGACAAACGTTCACTGTGGTAAACTAAAATAGTAAACTGGAGCGTGAATTTCCATAGATGATAGTCAAATGGTAAGTGAGGAAAAGGGCAGGATCCACAATTGGTAAAAGAACAACACTTAGTGCATGCCGTGTGTGTACAGTATTTGTAATTCAGACATACAAGGCGTAAGTTGTTTTTTTTTTTTTTTTATAGACTATGCATCTGGCAACAACAAGTGTCGCAATACCTGTTGATATTGCGACACAAAAACGCTTCTTCTAACAACAAAAATTTCGTGCTTTATGTCATGCGATTTCATTTTTTCTTTGCCCCGAACGATGCCAAACAAACACTTTCTTGCAATTTATCTTAAATGGGGATGAGAGGAAGGTCTATTTTGAGAACTCCATAAGGGAAGGTTCTTAGGAAGATCGAGACGTATCGTTTACTTCGTCTACGAGGCTGAATCGCTTTGGCAGGTGACCGATATACTGTGTTTGGCGGGACCATCCCGTAGTTATATGAAAAGTGATCGAAGAAGTAGTCCGATCCGAATCATTTTCAATAGAGTTCTTGCAGGGACAAAAACTCTTCACCGTAGCAAATTTCATTAAAACACAAGAAAATAGAACGGACAGAGGAGCTGAAATCGATCGGTATAATAAAATGTAAGTCTTGCATCACAAATGTCTATATTACTTGGGTTTCACTAAAAATAATAGCACAAATATAAACTGTACGATTTCATCTTCTGAAGAGAAAAATGGAGTCGATACAACTTTCGCGCCATAGCCATCTTTTCTGTTGCTCTTACTCGTCACAATTCTATATCTAGATTAGCAAAATAAAAATTTTGTAAAAATACTCAAACCCCGGTGAGAGTCGGCACATTTTTTAATTAAATCTATTTCTAAAATAAAATTTCAAAGATTTTGAAAATTTTTTTCTGTTTTATTTTAAAAAAAATTTGCGAAAATCGTTCGTAGAATCGGCAAGTTACCATTTGCCGTGTCTGCGAGTACAAAATAACGATTTTTTTCTTATGTCGAGAAAAACGCATTAAATTCAGACGAACGATCAAAAAAAAAGTGCTTTCATTAAAGTATGCTCCATCGCTAATCACATCTCTTTCCCATCTTGCGAAGTATTTATTGACCGATTTTTTCACATCTTCGTACGAACCAAAAATCTGATAAGCAAGTGCGTGATCTATCGCTGTAAATAAGAGTAGTACTCGGGATGACGCGAGTAGAGTATGCTGCAAGGCAGACAACTTCGTATTTCCAGAGTACTTCCGCGATGCCATCGTTATCGATTAATTTTTCCATAAGTACACACGCCTGTTAAGTTCGGTAGATTCTTTAATAATACAATGTTTTTGAAAAAACTGTGGAACAACAATGGAAAACTACAGATGATGAAATTTTTATGAAACTATTATTACATACTCGATGGGTTTACTAAGTCGTCTAAAATGGGAAATTATATATGTTCTTCACGTAATGAACATCTCAAATACGTTTTAAATTTTAAAAATATTTAATATTTATTACAATTTGTTATTTATGCATGTAAAACGTCATTTACAGTATGGGTATGACAATACACAAGGAATTTTAATGAAATCGTGCTTTTGGCTTTCAGAAAAACAAATTTTATACTTTATACGAGAGATAGTATGTTTTAAATAAGTTCTGCGCCAATAAAATCGTCTGTTTTGTTCAACAGATTTATAATAATGTGTATTTGAATAAAATATTTTTGAAAATTGTTTTTAAAAAGTCCTCACACAATAAATTCATCCCTTAAATTTTGCCTTTTTCACCGAGCACTCAAGTTCTTTCGATTTATAACATGAAAGGTAAACATATAATTATTTTCATTGGATGCGTCGTAATTCTCTACAAGAATGATATGATCTAAGATTTAAAATTTTGTTCCCGATAAAGGCTTTATGCTTCTTTGTGTTTAAATCAGCTTTATTTGTGCAACGCTTACAACATTTATGTTTACGCATCAAGCATTTCAGAATACACCTATAGATAATGTGTATACCTAAGTCATGACAGCATTTCTTATTCACTTTAGCCACAAGCGTTAGTCTCTTCCCTTTATATATTTCCCTACTTGCCCGCGAGCCTGCGGTCTCAATTGCACATACTAAGTCAGAAAAGCGAAAGAAGTTTAAATTTATGAAAATTCTAAAGTGAAACAATATTGAAATTGAATCTTAATCGTGTATATGAGGGAAAGAAGAAA